GGAGGGGGTAGGGATCGAGGGGGCGGGGTTCTGGCGGGGAGGTACGTAGCTGCTTCCAGCAGCGGTGGTGGTAGGGGTCAGCAGCGTACAGGGCGGTTGTGCGGTGCTGGAGCGCCGCCGCGGGCGGCTGCGAAGGAGCGAACCGCGCAGCTTTGGGCGCTGAGAGGAACGATGTTTGCTGCATTGGGCGGCGTTTTCGACCATTGCGCTCAAGGGCGATCTAAGAAGTATGGGGCGGACGCAAAACAGCTGCACCGACACAAGTGCAGAAGCACGCTCGTTTGCCCGTGCAGTCATCCGGCACAAAAGCGGTTGTTGTATGAACGGGAGTAGCCGGGCGACTGGGCTGCAGGTCCCGGCCTGCGACGCCAACTCAACCCCTCTCATTCTGCAATACAAAGCCTGCGACTGCGTGCTTCCGCCTGCTATACAAGCTGGGCGTGCCAGCGCATATGGCACGGCCACCGTTCTGCAAGGAGCCAAACCTGCCAGCCCCAAGCCTTGCTGAGCCTCCAGCATCCGGTCGCAAACGGCGGACATCCGTCACAGCCTGCCCCGACCACGCCACGAGGTTGTCTCACCATGCCTACAGACAGCAGGCGCGCCACCTGCCAGTTGAGGGACCCGGACGCGGCGCTCACGCCGCCGCCAAAGATGGCCTTTATGACCTGGCGCGGGGGCGAGGCGGGCAGGTAGGTAGGTGCAACGAGGAAGGGGCGGGAGTCAGGGTGCAACACGGTGGAGCGGGAGACACAGGTGACGACAACAAACGTTTGAGTCCAGCATTGAGGTTCTAATATCACGTTTGCCCGGGAGCTCGAGGTCGGCTTGCTTAGGAACCAGGTCGCAACAGAAGCAGCAACAGCCCCAGGGGCCCCGCCGCCACATCAGCGCGCGCTGCGTCTGCACCTGTCCGCCTGCCCGCCTCGCTCACCCCCCACCTGCTGGGGGTACATGGCGACCCCCACGGCGCCGGCCGCCAGAGCCAGGGCGATGGCTGTGTAGTTGCGCCCCGTGGGGTGCGTCGCCGGCCCGGCCGCGGGCGCGACGGGCTGGGGGGCGTTGATGTCCAGGGGGGACTCCTTGGGGGAGGGGCCCGCGGGGCCGCCCTGGCGGGCCTGGTCGGCCCTCTTCTTGGCGTCCTCCTCGCGGAAAGCCACCACACGCGCCGCGCGCCGCGGGGGGCGCGTGAAGGCGGCTGGCGGCTGCGGCCGGCGGCGGGCGGCGGAGGGGGCCTGGAGCGCAGGGCGGCGGGCGAGGTGGGGCGCGGGCGGGGGGACCCATTTGCTTCAGCCGATGCGGCGTGTTGCGAGCGTTTGGCGCCGCGATGCTTGGCAGCAGCAGCGCTTCAAGCATGACAATATACATATATCAGAGCAATCTCTTGGTGCAAATCAGGGATGCATCATGGGACCAAGGGCACCTGTCGCGCCAGCATTGCTGGCCTTGTTGCAAGGACTGCGAACAGGGCGGCGTGGGGAGGGCGCGTGGGCTCAGTCACGGCTGGATGCTAGGCAAGCGCGTGAAACACAAGCTTCGGCAAGCTGGAGCACCTGCGGACGTCATATGGCGCCCTCTCCGCAGATCTCCGGAACTGGGTGGTGACGCGGACAGGGCCAGAGGTCGGATGCGCTGTGCGCTCGTGAGCTTATCAAGTTGGTAGGATGAAAAAGAATGAGATGCATGTGAGCAACGCGCAAACGTCTCATGCCTGCAACTGGCGCGCCACGTCGCCACTTGGTAAGCGGTGACATGGAGTGACGGCACCCTGCTTGCAGACCTCGACTCAATCAAGCCAACTAGGCAGTGATTGACGCCGGGCCGGTATGTGTGCGGTTCAGGGGTCACCTCCACACTGTCACAGGCCAGTACAGTGGGCTGCGCCCCGAGCCGCTTTGCGCTTGCTTCTCTCTACCCAGCTGCTCTCAGGGCGGCAGGCTGCCGCCCACATAACAAGCTGCTGCCAGGTCGAGTGTCTGGGAGGCGGACTCAAAATGCGCACCACGTTACCATTAGTTTACAAAATGTTGCCCAAAAACCTCAGTGAGTAAAGCCCCGCAACTCTCCACAACCGTTTGTACAAGTCCATGTCATGAGTCGAAACGCCAATCGCTCGATGCTGGCACCCATGTTTTTTCCGGGCCTGGTGTGCCGCGCCACCAAAGGCCCCCACCTTGCCACCAATCGAGAGGCCGGCCCAGCAGCAGGCCATGTCGCCACGCGGCGAGGGCTCCGCCACCTGGACTGGCCCCTGCCCGCTCGCTCTCAGGCGTCCCCCGCAAAAGCTTCGCTCTCGCAGTGCGCGTGGCCCACTGAAAACGTTCGCCTGCGAATACCCACCACGCACGTCACACTCGCCGCAGGAAAATGCAAGCAACGGATGCGCTTCTGCATGTTCGACCAGCCAGGCACGCAGGCGCGCCCGCCCGCACTGACGCAGCTGCCGGGCTGCGGCCCGGCAGATGCCTCTGACGCAAAGCAGGTGCGGCCGCCAAGCTTGGCAGCTCAGCGGTCGGGCGACGGCGGCGGCGTTCAAGCCGAGCAGGTGATAGCTGGGTTGTGCAGCGGTTTGGGGCTGTGGACTGGAGGCAGGCGCTCAAAAGACAACATGCCACAAAGCAGGCCGTCGGGGTCAGTGCGTAGTAGCCGCCTCGGGCCCAGACCAAAAAACGAATCCCGATGAAACGTCCCCAATCCCGCCGCGGCGCAGTCGCCCGCAAGGACGGCGCAAAAAAGCCGCCGCCGCCGCCGCCCGGCGCGCGTTGAGAGCGCAGGCAGGGGTGCGTTGCCGCGCGCCCCGCAGTGGGGTAGAGGAGGAAAACAGATGCGGATGATCGTCAAGCACTCGTAGCTCGCACCAAGCAGCCCAGTGGTGGCTACGCAAGCGCCGGGAAACAGGCGTGACGCCTGGCCCTGCTGTGTGCGCGCTTGCGGCGCGAACCCAGGCGCTCCATCGGGCGTGCCGACGTGAGTGCAGAGGGGGAGGCCTTGCGCAATAGACTGCCTGGCGCCAAGCCGGCCGGCCGCGCCCGTGCATGCAAGGACGAGCAGCAGGAGGGCGGCTGCAGCCAGGACAGGCCACGCAAGACGCCTCCCTCGAAAACAAATTTCATGCAGCTCCTCAGGCGGCCTGACCAAGCTCGGCAACGTCGGCCCTCCGCTCATGCAAATGCAGGGAGCAGGCCCCTCCCCTTGATCTCACGACGCCGTGTGCGGCGCCCCTTGTCGCCAGCGGAGCAGCTGGCCCCGCTGCCGCAGGGAGGCCGGCCGCCAACATCCTCGCGACCCAAACGCTGAAAACAGTCCGCCGCCGAGCGCACAGGCCGCCACACCTAACAATGCAGCTGACACGTGCTCAGGGCCCCGCTCGCCGCCCTGGCACCGCCTCATGGCGCGTCCGTTCTGCGGCGCCATCGCCGCCACACGCGTCAGCGTATGAGCACCGTGGGCCGCCTGCAGCGCGCCGCGACCTGCTGAGCCACGGGCGTCTGGAACAGGCTCTCGAGGAACGACTGCGGCTGCTCCGGCATGACCACCACCGCCGCCTGCAGCTCCTCCACCCTGCTGACAATCGCGCCGCTGACGTCCTGGGGCGGGGTGGCGGGGTGTTCGGGGCGTGGTAGGTGGGCAGAGTTGTGATAACGGCAAGCAGGGGGTTGGGAGTGGTTGGATGGAGCAGACAGAAGCGTACAAGGCATCGGCCTGAGCCGCGACCAAGGGGTGCAGGCCGGACAGTGTCGGGAGCGAGCGAGCCGCCCTGGTAGCAGGGGGGCGGGAACAACCGCCGCGTGGAGGGTCCGACTTGCAGCAGGCGTGCCGTGCGCGCCAGGCGGAGTCTGCCGCGGGGCGCTACCTGGTTGCAGCTGCGCTGTGAAATGAGCTCCACTTCAACGGTGGCGCCCGCCGCAACGCACTGCGGGTGAGAGGGCGGAGGGCCACGGCGCCGCAGCATGGGTCGGTGCAAGCGGCCACGAGGCGAGCTGCCGCGGTGACCGCGTCCTGCTCCAGTCGCACCTGCAGCTCACCTGTTGCACACCCCAACAAACCCGCACATAAACCGTGTTGCAGCAATCCGTAGCAACAAACCCTGAACCCTAACCCGTAAACCCTAAACCCCAAACCCCGGGCGGCATCCCCCTGACCCACCTTTCTGACAAAGGCCCTCTCGATGCCCTCCCTTGTCCGCTCCGCCAGCGCCGCAGCACCGCCCTCGTCGCCAGCATCGGCGTCAAAAGATGCGGCGTGCGCGGTCAGCCCGCTGGCCATCGCTGCGGCGGGCGGCAGCACATGCAGCAGCTGCGGTGCGGGGATGGGGGTGGGGGGTATGCTTGCACGCGGCCAACGGGTGGTGTTGGGAGGTATCAAGGGTGAGACCCCGCGAACCGGTGAGCGGCAACGGGCTGGAGGCAGGGGGGCTTGCAAACACGACGGCGCTGCGTTACGCTGCCGAGCAATGCTGCGCCGAGGCTCATGGATGCAGCGGCATGAGGCTTGCACTTCTGACCCCCGGCCCTTGGGGCTCACGTGCAGGACGTCTCCCGAGCGGTACAGATTGGTGAGAGCCCACGAGACTGCCCGCACGGACGCGGGGGTGTGGTCGACGACGGCGACCACCTTGCGCGCCGCCGGCGCGTCGGCACGCGGCGCGTCCGGGCCCGCCCACGCGACCTGCGTAGGCTCCGCAGTCGCTAGCACAGCGAGCGCGGTGCGGCGAGGCCGCCGTGCTCCAGCTGCGGCGTACGGGCGCGCCGGCGCCGCCGCTGCCCGCCGCGGTTGACGCGGGGTGTCGCGAGGGCCGCGCGCAGCGACCGCGCTCGGTGTTCGGGGTGGGGCAGCGGGCGCCCTCCTCCCTGCTAAAGTTCCGCTCGAGCCACCAAGCTCCGCACTGGTGCGGCACATGCACTCGTGCTGCATGCCGAGAGCGGGCCGGTCAAGGCAGGTGACAACAACTCTGGGCGCCACGCACAGCAGGTGCCGCAGGAAAGCAGAAGTTGACGCCTTGAGCCGGGAGAGCAGGCAGGTCTCACAGATCTACGCACGGGGCTGGCGGGTACGACAAACTTCGGTGGGAAGCGAGTTGGAGGCCCTAAAGCGAGTATTATATGGACGTCGGAGCTTTTTCAACGCACGTGCTAGAACCATGCGGCTCGGCTGCAGCTCGCCAGCCGCGCTAACGACGACACCTCTGCACAGTCGCTGGTGTTGGCAGGCCAGATTATGCCGCACCCATGCAAAGCTGCAGCCAACGTGCGTCCCACAACTCCACGAATCCCACCACCTGTGACGCTGGTGTCGTTGCAGGATCTTCGTTCCCGGGCCTGCTGACCCGCATTTGACCGCAGCAGCGGCGCCGCCGCCACCCAGAGCACCACCTCAGCCAGTGTTATGATGTTGGCTTGGTAGCCAGCCCAGCCCACGGGGTAGCTAGCCCAGTGCAGTTTCTGCTAGCAGGAGCCAGGCATGACCGTGCAGATACCAAAGCCTTGAAACACTGAGGAGGTGCTCGGCACGCTGGGGCCGCACGTGTTCACATTTCGAGGCATGAAGATGTGACGTGATGACCCCTTGTCTTGCCAGCACATTCACCAGTGGGTGGCGGGAGTGCCAGTGCTTGTGCCAGAGTTCCGGAGCAGCGCAGGCAGCAAGACAATGCTGCACCCATGAGCAAGGCCGGGAAACACCAACCTGGTCACCTCCCCAGACAGAGGCAGAGATGCTGGTCTGACCCCCACAAGTGCTCAGAGCTCGTTGCTGGATCACGCAATTCCCATAAAAATGCTGCACAGGAAACCTGCTGGGCTGCTTGAAGTGGTTGATGAACAGTTCATGTAACATCACAACCGTCAATGACTAAACCTGGCACGTCATGCTTTTGTGTGTAATCTGCGCTGCAGCATGCTGCAGCAGCCGCATGGCAGCACACCTCTGTACACTGTACACAGATGAGTGAAACGCATATGCTGGGATTGAAGGAGAGGCGACGTGAAAGGATGTCGTTTGGGTCGGTTGCCGACAAACAGCAGGTAAGCATACTCAGCAGCACTGCCTGCACAACATGACTAAAACGTACAGGGTGCACGCACGCAGCAACAAGGGGCGCCACACATTCCGCAGTGTGTAGAAAGAAGCATACATCCAGGCATAAACCCAACGCAGCAATTGGAAGCACGCTGAGAGCTGTGCCATCAAACACGAGAACCGATGCATGCGCAACGCGGCCTCTGTCCCAGGGAATGATGGAGACAACACATTGCAATGCATCGTGCGATATTGCCAGCACAGGCCGGCCCATGCACAGCGGGCGCAGGTGCCGTTCACGAAAAGTAGCGCGGCCCGCCGGGGCCACCAGGCTTGAAGGGGGGCAGCGCCGGTGCGGGCGCAGAGTAGTACTGATCGCTCGCGCCGTAGGGGCTGGTGTCGGGCATGGGCACAGCCACAAATTGGCCGTCCTTTTGAGGGCAGGGAAATGTTGAACAGGCAGGTGGGCGGGGGCAATGTTGAGAGCTGTTTGTCGCACTGTCCAGTGCATCGCATGGTGGTAAACTTAGAAAGCAGCAGCAGGGCACTCAAGAGACGAAAGAGGATTGGCCCACATGCGAGGTAATGCCCTCACACAGCGTCATAAGCCACGCCCCCCCCCCCCCCCCCCCCCCCCCC